AGCCGATGGGCCGAAACCTCCGCTTTCCAGGACGGTGAAGACCAGCGATAGAGCGTATACAAGCGAGACAGTATCGAAGGGTCGTTGCTCACCAGCAAATCGCAAACGGTAGAGTACCCTGGTGACGAGCTCATCCACAGGCTCCTGTTTGTAATCTTCGGGTAGCGAAGTGACGCCCCGGGCGCGCAACGTCGCAACTCCAACAAAAGATTTCATCGGACCAAGACGGCTGGTGGTTCGCTCAGAGCAGGCCAGGTAAGCCAGAGACGCAGCGTCCCCGGTGAGAAGACTGGATCCAGCGTCGATGACGTCTAGGAGGGCCTTTACTGCCGGGCCCATCCAGTGGCTGGCTTCAGTGGGTGGACCAGTAGCGAGGCTTTGAACGATACCAACACCGCGCAACAAACGGGCTTCGAGTTGGCGAACTGATTTGCGGATTTCTGCCTCCTTGTGCAGTTGAGCCTTCACCTTGGCCGTCTCCTCTGCTGTGAGCTTCTTTTGCTGCCCCTTTTTCTGGTCCAGCTGGGCCCTGAGTTCCGCCTCCCACTTTAGGATGTCATAATCTTTGTTGTTCTTATCGGGAACAGCTGTCTGGGCCTTCTTTGCGAGAACGTCCACGAAGGCGGTGCCCTCGGGGGTTCTGAAGATAGCAGCCTCCACGGGCCCAACGTTTCGCAATTCTTCCGGCTCCAGGTCTTGCTGTATAATTTGAACGATACGGCTGGTCATTGTTTCTGGGGCAACAAAAGCCAGTTCCGCAGCGGCATTACAGGCAGCCCTCTTGACGACATCGGACTTTTGCTCGATCGAAGTGCTTTCTGTGATTTCTTTTATGAGGCTGTCTTCAAACCTGCGTGCCAAGTCTCCAGGATCCCGTTCTACGCGGAGGCAGAGGTCAATCCAACTAGAGCGAGGAACGAGGTCTTGCCGAGCAAGAACGAGTAGGGAGCAAAGCTGTTGATCAATTGTTGCTCGCACAGCTTCTTGTTGGCTTTCTTCCACATTCTTTGGGTTGATGCAAATGGTGCGTAAAACTTGGTGTAGGCTGCTGTTCTCGGTCTTGGACAATGCTGCTGCGCTGTCCTTGTCTGCCGTCTCTAAGCTGTCGATCCAGCGCCAGATGCCATGTATAACAGCCTGAGAGACCAAAGCTGGACGACTGGCATAGACGCGAGACAAGCTGTCCGTGGCGACCTGTCTGGCCTTGGGAGTTGCCCCGGATGAGGAGATGGCGAAAATGAAGGCCTCTGCCCAGGCAATCGAGACGGGTTTGGTGGTCTCCTCACTCAAATGCTCTGACGCGGCCGACAAAGCACGGGAGAACCAGATAAGCTCGTCCTCCACGGTAATCTTGCCATAGATGCGAGGATTGAGCAGGAAGGAAGGTTTGGGCTCAAGAGCAAGAACCTGGTTCGCAATAGAAATCTTTGACAATAATGACTTGACAGTAGCAGTCACATTGCTTTGCTGAGACCAGGAGGTGAGGGTGGTGACAATGAAGGCACCTACTGTTAAGTTGTTTTGAGCGGCAACGAGGGGATTAGCAACTACCTCATTGTAGGTGTCCAAAAGTTTCGGTAGGACAGCCTCAGCAAACTTGACGACGGCAGGGGAAATATCACCCGAGCTTGTAGCAGCGTTGAAGATCTCACCGACCCGAAGCAGCCAAATGCGACGAGATGTAAACTTCTTGTCAGAAATGCCTTTGATGCACGCATCCACGATTGGTTTGGCAACTTCTGTGTCATTTCCAAGCAAGAATCCTGTAGATCTAGCCAGAGCAGAAGCCTCGACGGCAAGAGCAGCCTCGTTTCCCTCTTTTGCAGAGACGACTGCCAAAGCGGCGGCAATTTTGTCCGCAATAGTATTGGAGAGAGGAATGGCCTCGAGCATCTCACAGTGCAGAATTCTGTGGTCTGCGGATGCTAATTTCCCGCCTTTGACGGGACCAACAATCTCTTCCGAGACCTTCTCCAGGGCCTTATCATCCCGACTTGCAGCAGCCAGTGCCTTGAAGGCCTTAACAGCGCCGTTCCGAGTGTTGACATTGCTGGATTTGACATTGGAGAGGATAGGCTTCAGCAGGCTTCCCAAAAGGATCTGCGAAAGGTCGAAATCCTTGTGAAGAGCGCGAATCAGGGGGATGATGACATCGCTGAGAACGATTTCAGGCGCACGCAGCAATCCCTTTTCCAGAGATGGAATAACCTCCTTGGCAAGATCTTCCAGGGTTACAAAGTCAAGGAAGAAGTCATTGAGCCCAGATGCGATATGCTGGGGAACAGAAGTCCGTGAGCCAATGATCTCTCTGGTATAAAAGGTGAAGTACTGCGACTTCTGGGTCTCTAGGACCGACTTGACTGCGGGGATTCGAGAGCTCACGCCGGCGATGACGCCAAGTAGCGGGGCATTTTTCATGGAAGGCTGCGCCGACTTGGTCGTCAGTAGCTGAACAGCGTCCTTGAGAGCCTTGTCTGGGTTCTCATGAGCAGAGAAGAGTTTGCGAAAGCCTCTCCGAATCACGATGATGGCGGAATGGGTCATGCCACCTTTGGCAGCTGGCTGGAGACACTTGTCCAAAACGTCGACATAGCTTTGGAGGATCTGAGAAGCCAGCTTGTCCCAGTTGGAAGTTTTGGCGAGATGCTGCATGAGCAAGCTGCACCACTCGACAAGAACGAATGCATTACTGGAGGCGATTCCAGGCTTTTGAGACTCGGCGCGCAAAGCAGCAACGAAAGCGGAGAGTACGTCGAAGTCGAGACCTTTGGAAAGAAGAGCGGAGAGACATCTCTGTACGGCGAGTCGAGAGGGTCGGTCGGCGTAGAAAGCGTGTGTCCAGAAGAGCAACTGTACGAGTCTGCGAACCAATGGCGGGTCAAGTTCTGCAACAGATGGCAATGGGTCAGCTGGAAGGATCAATGGGGGCGCCGAGGAGGCGGTTCACCTGTATTTGATATCTTGTCCTCGACAGTTCTCAGATGAGCTATCCTGACATTGGTGGAAGACGAGGTCAGGGCCGTTCTCGTGGCAGGGAAATCGAGAGGGGCGGGGGCAGAGCCGGAGCCATTGACGACGACTTCAGTCATTTCGGCGGGATTGGGAGCGGACAGAAGATATCATTGGGGGCAAGCCGGCCAGCGATATGGTCGGCGAGCAGGTAGGTTTCGGAGACTTGTGGCACCGACGGAAGTGAGGATAGGCGCAGATGCAGTGGTGTTGAATGACGGACGGAGAAGAAATTGAGTACTGTCGCCGTTGGTGCCAAAATGCGAGGCAGATTTCGATGGTGTGGTTGAGGCTGCTCGAGGCAGTGGGCACGCACGGCAAGGCAAGGCAAAGCCTGAGATACACCTCAGTACAGCGCGCTCCTCCTGTCTTGGCGGCGTAGGTAGCTCCAACTCAGTGGACACACAGCACCCATGCCCCAGTCGGATGTGGGCAGAATCCGGCTCTAGGGTTGTGCACCGTGGTCTGGGCCTGGCACCTTAGGTAGGGAGGTACCTTCCCTCACCTAAGGTACCTACCTACCTTAGGTAGGTACCGTAGCCCGGTAGATTGGCGGGGTTGTGCTTCTTGATAGGGAAGGCGGTCAAGTCATGGTCAACTTTTCCACCGCGGGGCACTCGTCGGCATCAGGTGGGCGTGGATGCACGGATTAGTTATGGTGAAGCGCAGGTGTGCAAGGAGAAATTCCTTTACATGTCTTGATTTAAGGTGTCTACGAATTGTGTAACTCATAGTGAAGTTGTGCTAATATCTTCGTACGTTAAATGAGGATCCAGGTTTAAGCATTGGTTGAATAGCAGGCCAATTGACCGGTACAAAGGGGAACTAGGGAAAAAAAAAAAAAAAAAAAAAAAAAGGGCCCGACGTGCGAGCTTCGCCGGTGACTCAATGCCAAACGGGAGGGAAGGTGCTAATGGGCGACGTGAAAGACCTCTCGCTCTAGATAGGCTTTCTCTTCTCCTACCTTGGCGCTAATTCTTCGGGCCAGAGGTAAGGTAGGTAGCCAACACCCAATTTGAACGTCGATTGCACCTTCAGCAGCACTTTGTCGTCCACATCCACATCCACATCCACTTCTAAAAATCACATCCACAGTGTCCAATTAGACTCAAACGCCGGGCAATACCACCCGCCTGTTGCTGAGGTCCAGGTCCTGCCTCAAGTCCATCCTCCGTCCCTTGCCTCGAGAGCCAGCCATACAGGCACCCTGTCGCCCCCATTCCGCCGCAAAAATACTTTCTATTTGCCTGTCGCCCAACATGCACAACATCCATGACCTGGCATAGGTAATCGAGCCCGTTTTCACAAACGCAGAAGCAAAAATATTCATTACCCTTGGCAGCCGAGCCCACTACTGACATCACTCTGCCACGCTCACGCTCGCACCCTCATCCTCATCATCACAACTCACCACACATCTCACCCTCATGCCCGCACAGCACTTCTCTCTGCACTCTGCGGATACACAACCTTACCTTGCCTTCAGGCACTTCACCTGAAGCTTGTGGCCATCAAACTCGCCTCCGTGTCCACTTGTATCGTTAAGGTATCTTCCTTGCCTGGCTACCACACTTGGCTTTAAAAAATAAAAATAAAAGGGTAAAACATTGTCATCCACTGCCTCATTCCACCCAACATCTACTACCTCTTCTCACTCACTCGTTTACTCGTTTACTCACTGACCCAATTCGCTCAGGCCTTGGCTCCCTGAGCCCACCAGCACATCTCTTCCGCGGACAGCAAAAAGCGGCATTTCTGTTTGCCCCACGCCTGTCCTCACTTCTTGCTTCTCGGCTCGGCTCCTCATTCTGTCGCTCCCGATCAACTTAGGCCCGGCTTGGGTCTTTTTGGAAAAACCCCGAGCCTGACTTGCCCTGCAACACGTCTTGCCTATCTGCCTGTCCTCGTCGCCCTGATCTCATCTACTCCGATCGAGCGCGAATCCAGTCTTTATTTTCAATCCTGAAGTCTACCCTTCCACGCGACCAGCCATGGCTGGCGCCAAGAAAAAGAAGAAGGCCGCTGTCAACCCGGCTAGAGGTTTCGCCACCACCTCCGTTGCTTCATCCAAGGCTCGCACCGAACCCGCTGGGGGCTCTGATAATGCCGCCAACGGCCGGGCCGCCAATGCCGCATCTAATGCTGCCACAGCCCAAGATGCTTCTGCTGCATCTCAGTCTACTCCCCCGGGTGACCAGTCGGCCCAGAAGACCTTGAGCCCGGAAGAATATGAAAAGCAGCTTGAAGAAGATGAATTGCAGTTGCTTGTTGACAAATACGCTCAGAAGACCAAGAGGGATGCTCAGCGTCAGCGCACACGGCTTGAAACTGATCGGCGACTTCTCAGAAGCCAGGCCGACTCCATCAATTCTAGGAAGTGGTTGCCCCAAGAGCTTATGGATCAGATCTTGGACCTCATCCAAGCCGAAAGCCGTTTTGCTTCTTCTAGCGTGTCCACGGAAAGTGCTGCCAGCGGCAAGATGCTGCCGGAGGAAGATATGACCATCAAGCTCTGGACCCTACAACAGACCCTCGGCAGCGTCGGCTTTCCAGAAGATCGCGTCCAGTCCGTCATGCGTTATATCTTGGACATTGCTCCCAATATACCTGCTATCGCCAGAGACAGTTTGTGGGGACTGGAAGAAGCCCTTGACTGGCTGGCTAGAGAATGCCCAACCGACGAGTTACCCGACTACGATGGTCGGGGAAGACATGGCAACAAGCCTTTGGGTGAATGAGGAACCCAAAGCTCACAATCTCGATGGAAATCAAGCTAACAGGAATTTTCAGATACGCCTGCTGAAAGCCCTCTGCCTTCGGGTGCAACTACACCTAGAGTATTGGAGCCAGACAGTCGCCAGAAACCTGCCCTAACATCCAAGAAAGGGGCTCAAGTGGCTCAGAAGAAGAGGGTTGCGGTGACGTGCGACAGCGACATCGAACCTGACGACCTAGTACCTGCCTACCTCGAAACAAAGGCCAAGCTGTTCGAAATTGAACGGAACCAGCAAGGAAGAAAGCGGCAGAAGAACAGTAAGGGCAGCGGGAACGAGGACGATGAGAAGAAGGTCAAGCTTCGTGCGAAACTTGACAGAATTGAAAAGGACGTATTGTTTGACAAATTTCCGGCTGAGCAGCAATGGAAGGCTCAAAAGATCGTCCTGGAGAGAGAGCTTGCAGAGGCGAGAAAACAAAATGCACAGGAAGAAGATGCGAAGGAGCCTGGAACGGACACCGAGCAGCCTGCTGTGTCATCTGACGGAGACGTCAACGATGAGGCCACCCGCATCGCGGCCGAAATTCTCGCCGAGGGAGGCAGCGACGATGACGGCGACGGCGCTCTTGCTGACCTTTTTGCCAACCTGCCTGTGACTGAGGTCGATGCCACTGGGAAGTCAAGTACCGTGGTCAACGGCGCAGACGGCGTGAAGATTACGATCCGGGATTTTGGAAAATGGACTGGCGTCACCCCCATGAGGGCCCTCGAGGAAGCTTGCAGAGCCAGGTGTGTATTCCGGGACATGCTTCGAAGGCTACAACAAGCTAACAGAATTACAGGGACGCCTCGGTAAAGATTACGTACCGACTTATTTCGGAGGTACCTTTTGCCAACCGTCACTCTGTTTCCGTGTCCTGGGCCAAACCCCAGGGCTCCCTCCCGCAATCTCAGGACGATAGCGTAGAGACCATCGCTTACCCGACGAGCTTCAACTTCAGCATGAAATCAATTGCCACACCGGACAACAAGCAGTCAGAGGCCTTCATTGCAACCTGGGCACTGTTTCACATTTTTGGCACGTCGTCCAAGGAGGAGAAGGTCGGCATGAGACTTCCTGCTGTCTGGCGTGAGCTATGGGATGAGCTCGCCGACACCAGGAAGAGCCTCCTAGACTCCAAGGACCGAGACGCTATCCGGGAGCTAAGAAGTCTTGTGCGCCAAAGGCAAGATCAGGAACTTGAAGACGGAGTCATCATCCAAGGCGCTTTCAAGGGCCGGGGCGCTGGTAGAAGTGGGAATGACAACAGAGATGAAGCTGGCCTGGAGGCAGCCAAGCGCCTCTCTGGTGGCCCAGAGTACTACCAGAACATTTGGTCTCGGAAGAGCAGCACCCCCAGATATCAGGCCATGCTCCAGTCTCGCATGCAGCTTCCCATGTGGAACTTCAAGCAGCAGGTCACCGACGCCGTCGACAGAGAGCAAGTGGTCATCATTTGCGGCGAGACGGGCTGTGGAAAAAGTACGCAGACGCCAGCGTTCCTGCTGGAGCACCAACTATCCCAGGGCAAACCATGCAAGATTTACTGCACCGAGCCACGTCGTATCTCGGCCATCTCGTTGGCCAAGCGCGTCAGCGAGGAGCTAGGAGAAAACCGAGGTGATGTGGGAACAAACAGGTCCCTGGTTGGCTATTCCATTCGACTGGAGGCGAACACGTCTCGAGAGACACGCCTGGTGTATGCGACCACTGGCATAGTCATGCGTATGCTGGAAGGCTCAAATGACTTGCGAGAGGTTACCCACCTCGTGCTCGATGAAGTCCACGAGAGGTCTATCGATAGCGATTTCTTGTTGATCATCCTCAAGAAGCTCCTGTTGAGGCGAAAGGATTTGAAGGTGGTTCTGATGTCGGCTACAGTCGACGCGGAGCGCTTCTCCAAATATCTCGGTGGAGCACCAGTATTGACTGTGCCAGGTCGAACATTTCCCGTGCAGGTCCGCTACTTGGAGGATGCCATCGAGACGACCGGCTACATGGTTGGGCAGACCAACCAGGAAAAGATGATCGACCTAGACGACGACATGGTAGATGTAGACACCGAGACGCCCAAGTCTACGTCTGGGGCCGACCTCTCAGCCTATTCCGCAAAGACAAGGTCAACTCTCGCCCAGATGGACGAGTACCGGATCGACTTCGACCTTATCGTGCAGCTCATCGCCAAAGTAGCATCTGACACGGAGTATACAGCGTACAGCAAAGCTATTCTGGTTTTCCTGCCCGGTATCGCCGAGATTAGAACTTTGAACGACCTCCTATCCGGCGACCCCTCGTTCGCCTCCAACTGGTTGATCTACCCTCTTCATTCAACCATTGCAACCGAAGATCAAGAAGCTGCCTTTCTTGTCCCTCCTCCTGGGTTTCGCAAGGTTGTCCTCGCCACCAACATCGCTGAAACTGGCATTACAATCCCAGACGTTACCTGCGTCATCGATACCGGCAAGCATCGTGAGATGAGATTCGACGAGAGAAGACAGCTCTCGCGGCTCATCGACACCTTCATCTCCCGAGCGAACGCCAAGCAGCGACGTGGCAGAGCCGGTCGAGTCCAGGAGGGACTCTGCTTCCACCTTTTCACGAAGCACAGGCACGACTCGCTCATGAGCGACCAGCAAACACCAGAAATGCTTCGACTATCACTCCAAGACCTCGCCATCCGCGTCAAGATTTGCAAGATCGGCGGCATCGAGGAGACGCTGAGCGAGGCTCTGGACCCTCCGTCAGCCAAAAACATCCGCCGTGCCGTGGACGCACTCATTGATGTGCGAGCCTTGACCCCCGCAGAGGACCTGACTCCGCTCGGTCACCAGCTCGCGCGACTTCCTCTCGACGTGTTTCTGGGAAAGCTAATTCTTATGGGCGCCATCTTCAAGTGCCTGGACATGGCCATTACCGTGGCGGCTATTCTATCCTCGAAGACGCCTTTCTCGGCGCCATTTGGCCAGCGGGCGCAGGCAGATATTGTGAGAATGGGATTCCGCAGAGGCGACTCGGATCTCTTGACCATATATAACGCCTACCTTGCCTGGAAGCGAGTCTGCCAGTCGACGAGTGCGTCTGGTGGCAAAGACTACCAGTTCTGTCGCAAGAATTTTCTTAGCCAGCAAACACTTGCAAACATTGAAGATCTGAAAGGCCAACTCCTGGTTTCGGTCGCAGACTCTGGGTTCTTGCAGCTGACAGACGACGAGAGAAGGGCACTGAACCGACTGCGGTACGGAGCAAACTCGCGGGGCCGACGCCATCAGAACTTCTTTGATGTCCCCCAGAGAGTCAATAACAACAGCGAAAACGACGCTATCACAACAGCGGTCATTGCTTGGAGTTTCTACCCCAAACTTCTGGTACGTGACAACCCAGGCAGTCGAGGCCTGCGAAATGTTGGCAACAACCAATCCATCAGTCTGCATCCATCATCAGTCAACAAAGGCCATAATGAGATCAAGTGGATGTCGTACTACCACATAATGCAGTCAAAGAGGTAGGGCCCCTTTCTCCAAATAGCTCGATGAGCATAGACTAACAAGTTCAAACAGTGTCTACCACGCGCATGAAACCACAGCAGCTGATCCCTTTGCCATTGCTCTCCTTTGTGGTGATGTAAGAGCTGATGTGAGTCGCCTCCCTGCAGTACCTCCTGTGATTATATCTAATCTAACCTGAGTAGATGTTTTCTGGTGTGCTTGTCCTGGATGGCAATCGCTGTAGATTTGCCCTTCCTGACTGGAAGACCATGCTCGTCGTCAAAGTCCTGCGCACACGGCTTCGGGAGCTCCTCACACGTTCATTTAAGCAACCAGGAAAGTTGCCAACTGCCCAACATGAGCGCTGGCTGGCCATTTGGCAAAAGATATTCTTACAAGACGCGAACAAGGACAACAACGGTAACACCCCCGTGACCAAGGCATAGTATGCACATTGGTAGGTGGTGCCTCGAAAATCCACAACGCTAGACCGGTGAGAAAGTCTCTGTGGATACAGGACAGGTTACTTAATGAGATGGGTAGCTGGAGAGGCACAAGGATTGGAAGGTGCTGGCATGTGTCTGCCCCCAAATGATGTATGGGCAGCTAGATACTGTTAGCTGTCAACGTGTTGTGGGATCAAGGAATGAGAATTACGCACGAGGTAGAAAGGCCCTTGCCATAAAGCTCTTTTCCTCTCAAAGGAGAGGCTCATGATTGGCATCATGTCACAGCCGATAGACCTCATAGACCAAGTGGTAGAGATACAATGCAAGAATCATAACAATTACACTCTGCGTTGGCCGTCCCTTGGTGAGCAGCTGCAATATATAAGCTAAAGACAGCAGATGGCTGGTATACACCGGGCACTAGGCCCCGGTGTCATGAATTCAGCAAGGCAGGGAGGCTACCGTGCGCCCAAATGCAACAAGAGAGTTACATACCCATTCCGTCGGACGCCGTAAGTATTAGTGCTGGCCTTCCCCAGCCTGCCCGTTACCGTTCCTCCCCTCGCCATCTTCTTTGGTCGCATTAGATCCCAGTATCATTGCCTTGAAGTCGGCGTTGCTCTTCATTGGTTTCCGTGTCTCTCCCTCTCCAACACTAGCACCGTTCACCTTGGTATCAGACTGCTGCTGCGGCTTTCCATTCCCACCTGCGCCTCCCACAGCCACCGCTTTCGGAAGAAATCCCAATCCTCGTTTTGCACCACCCTTGCCCAGAACCGGACGCCTGACAGTCGTGGACGGCGGAATCAAGGTCGCTCCAGTGGTTTTAGAGGTGGAAGGCTTGTCGCTCTGCTTCTTCCCCCCTGTACCATAAACGATCTTGTCAGTGCGAATCTCCCCTTTGGATTGCTTCAACTCTTCGACGGTTCCCGTTCGCAATCTACGGTCATCCAGGATGTAACCGTCAAGTTGAAGGGCAGCGCGGCCCGCGCTGGCCGCGTCCTCGAACTCGATCTTGGCACCGCCGTGGCTGGGCTGTAAAACGAGACTCTTGAAGCCCCCGACTTTTTGCTCAACAATTTCCTTGATACGTGCGTCATTGACCGTGTCGGGGATGTCGAGGAGGGCAATCGTCCGCGAGGCAATCTCAGCTCGGTTGGGGCCAACTTGACGTGAGTCACCGTTGCTGTCCGTCATAGTCTCGTCCCCTTCGCTGTCCCGGCTTGGTGCGGGGGATGCGTCCTCTTTTGAGGCAATTGCCGTCCTCTTGAAGTTGCTGGGTGTCGAAATTTGCACGGACATGATGCTGTTGCGTAGCTTGGCTTTGTCCAACTCGGACGCAGCAGCCTCAGCTTGCGCCTTGGTCTCCATCTCGACGTAAGCCACACCGTGGGCCTTGCCACCCTTGTTCCTCGGGATGTTGGTGCGCTTGACAGTACCATACTTGGAAAACACTTTTTCAATGTCCTCCTCGATGGCTGCCGGGTCAAGGCCAGTGATGTGGAGTTCACGACCCTCTTCAACAGCGCCTTCACGCTTCTTTGCCCGCGAGGGATCAGAGTACATCGCCACCAATTTGAACCTGCCATCGAGAAGAGTGCCATTCATTTCAGTCGCTTTGGCAGAGGCGGCTCGGTCGCGAAACGTCACATAACAGAATCTTCGGCGGACGTTGCCTTTTAGGCTGGGCATTCTGATGCTCAAGATTTCGCCGCAGTCCTGGAAGAGCTTGCTGAGATACGTTTTGTCCGCGGTAGGGGGGTAGTTCGTGACATACAGCGTCAAATCAGTGCCAGGCTCGACGCTGATCTGGGCTGTGCCAAAGTACTTCCCGTCTCTGAGAAGTGCCGATTGCGCCTCCTCCGGTGTCCTGAACTCTACCATGACGGTCTGGGTGTTGTCTTGAGGGTCAATAGCGGGATCCGTGACTTCGACGATGTGGCCATACTCTTTGAAATACTGCCGTATTTTGGTTTTTGTGGTTTCACTTGGAAGTCTGCTAACCAGGACCGACGTGTTCTCCCGATCTCTCTTCAGACTCTGCTGCTGCTTCAGCGCCGTAGCCTCTGCCTCGGCGGCATCGTTCTTGGGTCTCTTGTTCGCCGTCGCGTCGACAGTCTCAGTCTCGTCGTCTCGCTTTCTCTTGGAGCTAGAGGACGAATCGTCATCTGCCGATTGGGCTGCGTGAGCAGCCTGTTGTTCCTGCGCCTGGGCGGCCGCATAGTATTCCGCCGCTTGTGCGGCCTCTCTCTCTCTCCGCTTCGCAACCTCCTTGCGCGTTTCGTAAACGGTATCGATAGCGTTGCGTACCGTGCTAGGCAGCTCGTAGTCGTTGCAATGCTGCACATACACGTCAATGACTCTTTCGGGCCAGTCCAGAGTCTTTCTCTTTATTGCCCTGCCGAGCACCGCCGTAGCCACAGATGGCACTCGCAGACCTATCGCAGCCGTCGAAGGGGTCGGGCTGCGATCCTTGCCACTGGAAGCAAATACCATCATTTCCCAGAGGTAGTAGTTCAACCAAAAGTCGTAGCTATCAGCGTACAGCTGCTTTTCAGCCAGCTTGTGCCAGAGACCTCTCGCCTCATCCAAATTGCGCTTCTTCTCAGTCAGATATTGGATGTAAATCCGCTCCAAACGGAAGTTGGGATCGCCTCTGTAGCTATCGCCATATCGGTTCTTGGCTTGGTCGACGAATTCGAGGGCGGCACGCAAGCCCATGTCGGCTACATCAACGTCCTCGTCGGTTGCGTTGAGATCCATGGCTTTTCGTTTGAGGAAACCACACCACGCAGCATACATGTCAAGGAGAGCGGCCATGCCATTCTTATAGAGCTCGGGGTTGCTGGTGGCCTTGTGCTTGATTTGTTCGATCTCGTTGAAAGGCAGTCTGGCATCTTCTGCAGTCAAAATGTACCGGGACCAAATGGTACCAGACCAAGGGCAATGGTCCACGGCTCGCCGTAAGACGTCAACCATGCCCTGAGGCGACTGAGCGTAAGTGCCAGATGTGGAGAGAAATCGAACGTACTCGTTCCAGATGGTGTCGTCAAAAGCGAAAACCCCTGTCAAAGCTCTTGCGTAGAGGCCTCTGCAAAGGTCACCAGTAGCCTCGGCATGTTTGTTGCTTCTCTTGCTCTGATTACATTCCCACTCCAGATATTCTTTCATCAGAGCGCGGTAGACGTCTTCCTTTCCCTCTTGGCGAGCCTGTCTGAGCTTCAGCTCGAACATGTCGCGATCCTCGGTGAGCTTCTTAGCCTCCTGTGACTTGGCGGTGACAGCTTGCATGGTCTCCTCCCAGGCAACTTTGTTATAGGTGGAAAGGAACTCGGAAAAGGCTTGCGCAGTATCGTCGCGGGTGACGTGAGGAACTTGGAGGCGATCGGTATAGAGGAAGGTAATGCGCCGGATGCCCTCAGCGGTGCGTGTGCCGGCAAGCATGGCGCGTTCAAGAGAGATCCATTGATTCCACAGCTCATGGCTGTCGTTGATGCGATACTGGATGGATTCGTAACCTTGCTGCCAAAGGCTGAGGGCGGCGTTTAGAGAGAAGAGCTCGCGGCCCATAAGGCGTTCCTCGTCGGTCCATCCGGATTCGGGGGTCTGACTGTCAACGTACAGGGACCAAAAGTATTCGCAGTATGCGCGCCAAACCCTGACGCTGTTGGGCTCTGCTTCGATGGCGAGCTTGAACAATTCGATTACGTGAACGCGCTTTTCCAGGTCGTTGGCATGTCTCCTGTTCTCAGCGACGTAGTCCACCCATTTGTCCTCCCCTACCGGCAGGGTCGCCATCTTGCTGCAATCGGGCGGCCGTCAACAGACGAACCATGGGAGACGCGGCGATGGCAATCTGAACTTGTAGGTTGCCTATTGCTTCCTTGTTTCCCGTCGGCTTGGGGGCTTAATTGAAGCAAGCTGCGTGCGTGACGAAGGGCAGGTGTCGAACAGAGTCGCGATCGGGTCGGTGGGTAGGTGGGTGCAACGCGGAGTGATGATCGGAAGGTTTCCGTCGAGGGCGACAATGTTCAGGAGAAGGTGACGGCGATGCGACAGGTCAATGAAGCAATACCAGATGCGGTATTGACTTGTTGACTCGACCAGACGCACCGTTGATGGATTCGCGGTAAGGCAGGGGGAAGGGATTGCCGGGGGGGAAAAGTGGCCAGCAGAAATTTGGTTTGCGCCAGAGTGGTACGGACGCAAGGCGGTTGATACTTGGACCAACCTAAACACCACAGGGCCCGGTCGCGGTAGATGCTGCACGGCAGGTGACGGGGTCAAAGGAGGAAAGGTACCTGACGGAACTGCAGGAGTAAGAAGCCCTTTAGGCGCTTGGGGCAGTGAGTGGAAAGGTGGTGAAGGTTGGGAAGGCAGCCTTCTTGGCCCCAAGAAGCAATCCGTTTGTCGATCCTCAGGCCCTTATTTTCCCTTTCTCTCTGATTCCCTTTTTTTTTTTTTTTTTTTTTTTTTTTAAATTCTCGTCAGGCGCCCGGTGAGGTCAGGAGGTAGGCAGGTAGTGCGAGGCTCCCGTCTCAGCAGATGGACCGGGCCTGTAGGTAGGCTGAAGGTATGGGGCGGGTTATCGACGCCAGTGCCAGTATCTGGGCGTTCGGTGCGGTACCGTACGGCATCTGCAGCTGTACGAATAAGGATGGGAGCCGACCTAGCAGACTTCGTGGGGCGGACAGGCTCAGAAGATGCAAAACCTGCTTGAGGCTAGGCGGTTGAATCCACCGTCGATGCTAGAGGGATTGGATTGGGGCCTCAGGCGGCATCGGGCTTTACACGGTGCGTATCCTTAAGCCCGATACGGTCCATACCTAGGTCCAGACGTGCGCGTTTTCGGCGTTGGAGGGTCCAGCGTACCAAAGGTTCCATTGGTTGGTGGATTTCAGTCCATGGAGAACCTTGAGGCAAGGTGCCTTACTAAGATAGGTATCTACTCTGTACCTGCCTACGCTTTTGATTTGTTCCCCAGGTAGGGTATTCTA